CAGTCAAAGGTATTAACTAATAACTTGGCCAAAGGCGGATCGTATGCAATAAGATGACAAAATTAATCAAGGATATTTATGCGTACTTACGTATTTTGTAATTCCGGAGAAATGTATTTAGTTTCGAGTAAACAAATGGAATAATTACCTGAAAAGAGAAAAAAAAGAAAAAATACAGGAAACATAAATCATTTAATTAAATAAACGATTAATTTTTTTTTTTTTTTTTTTCATATAAATATAAAATTAATATCCTAATATATATATATATATATATATATATATATATATACTATGCATGTGTGTAAAAGTGAATACAGTGCAAACTTATGGTACGTAGATAAGTCCTCTTACTTTTTGTCGTTCGAAAAAATTTCCGTTTTAAACTCTTCAAAACACAATTAACAACTGTTAATATGATAAAAAAGATATTTCATCGAGTAGCTTTAATAGTGTACGATTTTATAACAATACTTAATTTAAGCAAATAAATGCATACACAAGCTCACAAAAAGTTATTCTCCACATGTCAGCTCATAAAACTCTGAAACCAAAAGCAAATTAAATTAAGAAAAAATATATTATCAATTTTTGCTGTATTTGTATTTTATTATAAAGAGCAATAATAAGTACGTAAGTACGTACGTATATACAGATTGTTGTATAAAAGTGATGTGAAAATAACAAAATGGGTAGCGAGTCTTTTAAATGAAAAAAAAAAAAAAAAACAAATCTTGTGATAAAGATAAAATTATGGCATTACAAGTAGGGTTTTCTTATATATATATATATATATATATATATATGTAAATATATTTATTTTAATAATTGTTTTCGAAATTCTAGTAAATGAATTTACTAACCCATAAATCATTACAATTAAAAATGTAGAATACGATAGCAGCAATCCGTGAGCAGCGTATCAGCACCGCTTAAAAGATAGATGTCTATTGGCCAAGTAAGTTTAAACGGCCGGACGGGTAGATAAGATAAAGATTCTCTCAAGTTGATTGGTTTTATTTGTTTAGTTCTGTGAAACATGTTTATCTCGAAAAAATATGGCCGCTATTAAGATCACAAACCACTCATAACTATTTAATTTTTGATTTTTGTCTTCCGGAGAAAGTTAATAGGTGTACAGTTAGCTAAAGGAATAAATAAATAAGATGCACTACTACTACTTATTTAAGACTTTTTGTTTTGCAACAATTTCAACATCACTAATAAATGGACTTTTTTTTCCCAATTTCGAAATAGTTATTAAAGATAAATATTGCCTACATTTAGGATCATTAAGTCGACAAATTTGTAACATTTCTGCGGCATTATCTAAAAGCTAGAGAAGAATAACCGATTTGTTGAAATTATGGATGAATGAGATGTGTAATGTGTCTGGAAACAGCTTTGAACTGTAAGCGTTAAGAAGAAATTAAACAATGACAGAAATATACTTATATTTGATTCTTAGTTACTTAGTACTTAAAACTGTGCTAACTTATAGATATTTCTTGACAAAGACAAACTGAGAAGAAGAAGATGAAATAAAAATACTTAAATACATTTTTAAACAGACTCACGCGCTCTTCACTGAAGCGCACTCATCTTTGCTAAATGAAGACAATCAGCATTCAAGGCAAAATAAGAAAAGTAAAAATCAAAACAGAAATCAAAGAAAAAAGAAAAAAAGGAAAAAAAAAAAAAAAAAAAAATTCAGCACATACTATAAAATAATATATGTATTAGTGAATGTATACATGGTTGCATGTACAACGTATATGTACAGGATTCGTAGTAGGTGGTGCTTGGATTCTATCAAAGCAAATGTCAACTTTATACAACACAAAAATCTAAGGGGTATATATAACATTTTATAGATGGATTCCCAATCGTAATCGATGGTGGTTCTGCTGCTGCTGCTTTCAGTGTATACTCATATGCAGATATATGGACGTTTCGATATACGTATATATATATATATATATATATATATATATGTGTATATATATTTATATAAAGGCATATATATAAATACCTATATATATTTATATATATATGCCATTTAATTGTTCTCTGCGTATATATATATATATATAAATATAAATGTATGATGTATGGGTAGGGGATGAAGGGCATTTACAATATATCACTAATATTTATACACAAATATACACAAGAGAATGTTTGTGCATATGAAGATACGTATATGTATTAAAGTTCACAAAAATTTTTCCAATGAAAAAAAAAGAAAGAAAAAAAATGGGAAACGAGAAGAAAGTAAATGTCCTTTTACGTGTAAAAGAGAGTGAGTGATTGTACGTAACAAAAATGAGAATTTGGCTCTCTAGCTAAAGCGCCTGCGACAGAGAACTAATATATATATATAGGAAAACATTTGCAAGCAAAATAAAAAAGGAAACATATATATATATATATATATATATAAATGTTGAATAGAAAAAAGTTGAACTAAAAAAGAAATGCTTTCTTCTTTTCTGCTGGTATTTATAAAAATTCAATAAATATACGTATGCCTGCATGTATATGAAGAGTACAGTGGAAGCACGTTAGAAATACAACACAGTCTAAAATAAAAAAGCAGTAGCATATGAGTAGCATGTACAAGGAAAGACATGGGGGCACAGATTCAATTTTTTTTAGGGTTTGATTTCGGGAGCTATGGAAAGAAGTGTCTTTGTAAATGGTGTTGAGTTGTGGCAAATGTGTCTCTGTTCGATTTCGAGTGGTTTGGCTTTCGTAGCGCAGAGGAGGCACAATTCAGTACTTGATGGAGTGGTAGCAATTCAGCAGAGGGAATCTGTACGTATAAAAATGAAAACGAATTTTGTATATAAGCATTATCATTAGATACATATATTTATGCTTCGCTATAGGAAGTGAACTTTCCTTAGTTTAACAAAAAAATTTATATTTTTATAAATTATTATTATTGTTATTATTTTATTATTATTATTATTGTTTTCATTATTATTATTATTATAATAATATTATAATTATATTATTATTAATTATTATAACTATTATTATATATTAATATATATAAAGATATATAATAATTATATATAAATATATATATAATATATATTAAATATAAATATTAAATAATAATAATAATTAATTATTATAACGATTATTATTACTATTATTATTGTTATTGTAGTTATTAAAATTATTATTATTATTATTGTTATTACTATTCTGTTGTTAAGGCACTGTGTATACACAATATATTTAAATCATTCATGCAATTGAAGGAGAATGTGTGTGTGCACATGTGAAAATGGAATGTATTCCCTTCTGCATTAGGTTCATTGGATGATTTCATGATTTTCCTTTCTATATAGAATTTGGGTTGAGCTCTTGCTTACTTTTCCCTTTTTGGGTGCCAAAATAGAAAAAAGGAAGTGTAAGTATGTATACACACCCTTCATTGGGAGTCGATTGAATTCGATTGGACGAACGGTAATCGTTAAAAATGAAGTATAAAATGGTTGTTTATTTATATTCTTTTTATTTTGAGCATCTGGTTTTACTCATATACATTGAAACAGTTCTATTATAAAATATTTTTATATGCACACTACAAAAAATAAAAAAAGAAGAATAATAACGAGTGACTCTAAGAAGGAGTGGTAATGCGTCAATATGTTTGAAGATGATGGATGTATTATGTATAGATGTGCATATGAACGGAGTGTTGAAGAAAACGTAATACGTTATATATATATTATATACATATATGTATTGCATCGGACATTTTAAGTTATCTAAATTGATGTTATAATGATAGGATGATTAATTACGATCACATTTATGAATTTATTTGAAAATTTCGATATCCAGAATGAGTTGATGATAATCGTAAACTATCTTACTTCATTCTATCTCCATCGTTTCGTTTTTCTTATTTTTTTTTCTTATTGTGAAAATTGATGTGAATAACTTTAGAGGACCTTTTTAATAATACATTTTATATTAATAGAATTGTTTATTTTATTTAGTTATGAAAAATAAGTAATTATTAAAAAAAAAGGTAAAATTCGCTAATAAACGTTATCCATTTTCAATTTTATATATATATATATATATATATATATATATATATATACGGTTGAGATATAATAACCATGTCAATCATCGACTACATGTGCCTCCAATCACACAAAAAAGTCCTTATAGCGATTTCAGAACAACCATTTTTTTCTTATTCTAATTATTGTTGCCGTTATTCGTTTTCTTAAATCTGTATTCATAAATGAAACGCTTACAAAGGTATAGATGCGCCTTTTCCGCATATACATTTACAACTATGTAAAGATATATGTATATATATATATATATATATATCTCCTTTCTTTTTACAAAAAAAGGTAATATATATATATATATATATATATATATATAGTATGTATATACGCACATGTATTGTATAAATCCTATATAAGATATAAACGTAAAATATAGCAAAAGGAAAATAAAATACTCGTACATACCACAATATTGTTGTTGTAGCTGTTTGTGCCGCAGTCAATAACATCCAATCAGGTTTGTTAAAAATCTATCTATATACACTCGTTTACACAACCATTCACACAGATATATAAATATATGTTGGTACACATATCTACACACCTATATGCTTATGGTGCATTTAACTCAGTGTTATGTGTATTCCGTTCGCATGTATGCAACGAAGTTATAGAATAGTGTGGTGTACAGGAGTATGTTGAGCTCTATGGCCTTAACCAGAGTCGGTGAGTAAGGCTGACGGTGGTATGAAGTATGAACTCAGTAGATTAGTTTTTATACTCATCGAACGTACATTGAATTGAAATACTGTTTGTGTGCGTTATATTTTTTCCTTCTTTTTTTTGTTTCATGTTTTTTTTTTTTTTGTTTTTTTCTTACAACCACACAACCATTAAGCCTTCGCATATTCTCGTAAATACATGCATATATATATATATATATATATATATATTTCTATATATATATATATGTATATATATATAGAAATGTATTTATACGGACTCGAATCTGATGGGCTGGTATTAGTAAATGTCAATAAAATATCTGCTAGATACCCGTGTGCGTTCATATAAAGCAGAATAAATTGAACAGAAAAAAAAAAAAAAAAAAATTTCAACCATCTCGCTCTTTTTATAATAATGCGCTTCATTTCATCTCTCCTCTTTAGCAAAATAAACTCATTCACTCTTTCTCTCTCTTTTTACTCTCTAAATTCTACCTGATTTGCTGAGCGGAGAGCACAAATAAGCATTGTTGTATTTTTAAGTAGTAAAATTCAGTGCAATGTTTCGTTGAACATCAAAATGCCGTCGGTAATTATTTTTATTAAAAATTGAAATCAGAGCAATAAAGTCTATCCCATTCGCGAAGATGATTTTTCTTCTCTTTTTCGTTTTCCCTTTTTTTTTTTAAGCAAATAGGGAGTAATTTAAAAATCAAGATGGGATAAAATTTCAATAATTATAAATACATTCTAGTTGCAAATGTAGATTGGTTAAATGGATTTATATAAAATTTATATGTACACTAGATATATATGTAATATCATTTATTGATAGAAGAATAATTATTCATTTCAGTTTTCGGATATTAAGATTAAGGTGGAGCTGTTCGCATCGATTGCATATATATGTGTACGTATTGTGTACATGTATGCACATTATTCGAGTGGCTGCATTATTATTGAATCAAAATATCCTCGCAAACCCAATGTCAGCACTCCAACAGCAACAACAAGAACAACGTCGGCGGTGGCGAAAGCAATGTTGATGGTGCCAATACCTTTTGCGCAACGCATCCATCTGACATATTTCCAATATCATTGGTCGATAAATACCAAACGAACGAAACATAAGAGCTATGGACCACCAAACATAATATATACACATGCCGTGTACATATCGTTAATATGTGTTTCATGTCTATGTATAAATGTAAGTATGTATTGTATAGTAGAAATTTCAGCTTGCTGTGTGTGCAATACTGAAAATCCCTGTACATGCAGGAATATAGAAGAAATATTGGCAGCAAAATAAGGTAGTAAATACGAAAATGGAGATCGTTACTAGAGTAAGTAAGTAAGTAAGTAAGCATAGAGGTGGAGTAGCTGAACTGTATAGAAAATTTATATGTACCTGAAAAAGCATATAAAGTGTCGTGTCGTGTGAAAGCAAAAAAATTCCTCTTCATTTCTTTATTTTGCTCCACAGAATTCAAGAAAATCAAAGAGAGCATACTAAAAACATATTTATATATACATATATATATATATATATATACAGTTCTATCAATCCAGTGTATTACTCGAGCAATAACAGTAGCCGTAGCATTATTGTAGAAATATTTAAAGAATAATAAACAACGGAACGGGAAAAATTGCATTCGCTTTAGAACGAATTCTCGATACTTTCTATTATATGGCTGACAGATTTCAACTGCGCTTTATCGCATGCATCTTGTAGACGTATCAAAATTGCTTATGCCTACTTTACTCTTTATAGTAAATTTAGTAGTGCGGCTTAAAACGTATAAACTCCCTTTCAAACTTCAAGTTGTTATCCACATATGTTTTTTGATGTTATAAGGACTCAGTATACGCCCAATCCTCAATCATAAATTGAAGAAATACAAGAGAAAAATGAAAAAAGTAATGAATTTTCAAAATGAAAACAAAAAATTTTTTTTTTAATTGTGAGCGAACGCAAAATTTTTCCTTCTATTAGCTAGAACTTTCAACTATTTAATGAATGAATAAATTAGTTAAATAAAATGATGTCCGAATTTTTCTATGCTAACCTTATAGCTAGAATCGGAACCTAAATGGAGGGTATTCGAAGTTTTACCGTCACCAAATAAAATGCATATTTTGCTTTTTGTTTTTTTTTTTGTCTTTTTTTGTTTTTTTTTTTTTTTAACATGAGACTCGTTAGAGAAAAACAGGATGGAGAGAAAATAATATATATGTATTATATGTGTATATATGTATTGCATATATATATATATATATATATATATATATATATATATACGCGGGAAAAGTTTTAGTTTGCCTTGTCCTCTAATAATGGCGTTGCATCTATTTTCTGTCTCTTATTCGCATGCGGCGAATTTTATTAACGTCTAGCGGTTAGTAGTAAAGATAGAGTGGGGTGCTGTAGTTTGCTACTTGCTCTTAGACTTGAATATATCCTGTAGGATTTATATCAAAAGCAACACCACAGAAAAAAGATTTTATTCACTAGAAGAGAGGAAATAAACGAAAAAGAAAAAAAAAAAAAAATGGTGGATATATAATCATTTTATTGGAAATAAGAAAAGCACAGACATAAAAAGAGGAATTCATGCTTTAGCGAATGGTATACGCGCATCGGAAAATAATATGGAATGCTAATGACTATGTATTCTCTATGTATATAAATGTATATAAAATATACATATAATTTTCTACGTATATTATAGTTTAAATTTCATTAATCGATTTAAATTTTAATCTCACTTTTCATATATTTATATACACACAAGCATACACCCATATATATATATATATATATATATATTACATAATTTTTGGTTATATATATATATATATATATGTATAAGAAATTTTTATAGAAATTAAAAAAAAAAAATAACAAAAAAATCACACCTTTCTGTGACTGCTATGAATATATTTTTAATAATCGAAATAAATTAGTTTGAACTGATAACCGATGAGATTCATCTAATTGCTCTTACGTAACTAGAGCATCGAGCGACATGAATTATGTGTATATGTGTATTCTTATTACTAAAACGATACCTTATCAACCATTTTTGAAAGCACTGATTGCAATTGGCCAATTTTTGACGCTCCTGCTTTCCCTCGCTGTCAAGTTTTATCTTATAAGTGAATTTATACCCACAAGGATAGATACGATCAAATGCAATTGTACCTCTTCTGAGGATATACATGATCTGCAATTTGACACGCTCGCAATTAGTGCCATACTTGGCAGCTAGTCTGAATATAATGTAGATCTGTTATCTGCTTCCCTGTACCGGTGTGTAACGAGCGTTACTTTTTTCTCTATCTCCGTCTCTCTCTCTCTCTCTCTCTCTAACTCTCTGGAGTGTGAATGGGCTCAGAAGTACGATGCATTTGTTTGAGTTTGAATCAAAAGTAAAATGTCTACCTAAAGTTTTTGTTATATTTTATATAAGATTTTGTTATACGTCAAAAAAAAATTTTGCTTTTTTTTTGTAATGTTTTTTTTTCTCTTCTTGGGAGGATGCGTTTGCCTGATATTTCAGCTCATAATTTTAAACTTATCTTTACCGATTTCGCGCCTTCACATTATATCTTACATAATGCGACAATGTCGACAATAAATCAATGTCTCCATTCTTTGATGGGCATAAATGAAAATATCTTTAGAAGTCTCTTATTCTCTACGATTTGATTTCTGTGATCCTAGAACGGTTACAAAGACACTCATCAGCACCCTTGAAATAAAAATGAAGAATACATTTTTTTTTTTTTTCACATCTAATAATAAAATCTCTTATAGACTCTCTTCATTATATCATTCAATATGCCTTCATTTTCTAGTTGGGAATATAATTAGTTGATTTAATTTGTATGAGGAGAAGGAACAGCACACATTATCATGAGCTCTAATTAGTCACAAAATGAAACATTTTACAAATATAGCAACTGCGAGACAATTGCTTATGCTATTTTTGTTAGAAATTCATGCCTTCTTCCACTTTTAGGTTGTAATAGTTTTCGCTGCTGTTGTTGCAGTTAAAATGTTCAATATTATTAGCATTAACATATAATACGGAGATAATACAGGAGATTAACAAAAGCAACTATGCAGTATGCAGTAGAATAAAACTTAATTTTGATTTGTGGTCACGCCCGCGCATATAACTGACGTCGAGTTATGCATTTCTCTCTCCTCATAAAGTGTCCACAATCCCTTGCTAAATTGTGTACATTGGACTTTTTGAAAAGAAAATCTGCAAGTTGAGATCCTTCTTAAGTATGTAGGTATGCATGCATTGTACAATGATATTTGTTAAGCGTAGGTGCATTGCCTCATCCTATGTCCTCGATTTTTTCGCCCACTGCGTAAATTCCAATACAACATTGTCTACAGTTCTGCTCTTTAATAAATATTACATATGAGATCATAAGTTCATTTATATATATGTACATATATAAATATATGTATGAAACATTAATGATTAGTCCAGTCGCAAAAGGGAAATTAAAATAATTTTAATTTGAATTTCCGTTCAGTTTCGTTTTCTTTATAGATATTCTGAAGCCTACATAAGCTTTTAATTTGGTTTTTTATTTAAATTCCCCTTCGTGTTGAGCTTTTTTAATAAAATGTAACTTTGATTTTTTATGATCACTTTAAATGATCCTCTGCTGCTGTTTTAATACTGATGATGATGATAATTTAATTCAATTGTTGAACTTCCGCTGAAGAACTGCCTATACTCACGACGACGCATCAATCGAATTCAATTGTGTGTGAGTCATACAAAAAAAAAAAAATAAAAATAAAAAAATAAACAAATAACTAAATAAATAAATAAATAAATAAATATATATATAAAAAAAAGATCTGCTTTTTGATTTTTTCTTGTATTGTATTTACTTAAGCAATTGATCATCTTGTTCAATTTAGTCATGATAAGATAGTCAGTCTAGTTGTTTCCTCTAGTACTGTATCAAATGCTAAATTTAAAAAAAAAAAAAAAAAAAAAAAAACTCGTGTTCTATTGCTTGACGAATTACTTCAAATAAAATCTCGTTTTATTGCAATAAGTTGTAAATTTAACCGGATGCGTGCGTACGATTGGAACAAAGCTTTGATTGGTACTCACATGCCCGTCGTTTCAAAGTGTTTGTAAATGTTTGTTGCGTTGTTCAAATTGCAAGAAATTAGTCTTTTCGATGGGAATATATATGATCTCATAAGTACCTATATATACGCATACGGGAATGTATGTAAAAAGGTCAGTTTGTTGTAAGCCAAATAGAGTCAATTCTGTTTCTTTAAATTGACTGTCAGCTATAAGTCAACTCAAAATTATGCTTTAATTTCTCTTAGTTACAAGCAAGCATACAAATATATATATATACTAAAAATATCGTTGCTACTAACCTTAGACAATTTAAATTTCACAACTTTCTCTTAAATTGATATGATTTTATTTGTAACAACAATGGCAATACAAGAAGCATAAAAAGTGTTTGCATATATACTTACACACATACTGTTATGTAATTTAGGTAAAAAAGTAAAGTTTTTTGTTAATTTAAATTTAAGAAAATTAAACTTAAGCTCTTAGTTGGTATTAATAAGGGGTTGTTGCTGCGAGTGCTGTTGTCGCTGTTGTTTTTGTTTTTTCCACAATCATGTTGTTGCAAATTACTAAAGCAACTTTAAACTAAATCCAACAAAAAGCGAAAAACAAAGAAGGTATAAATGTTTTGTTTTCTCCCGTTTATGTAGTTTGAGCAAAAACTGTAGTTATATATATATATATATATATATATATATATATATATATATATGTCCATGTATATATCTAACATTCATTCATTCATTAAAACTGCATGTACACGTTTGCTTGATTGTATGTGTGCGAATGTTTATATGGAGAGAAATTAGTTCAGAAAAAAGGGGAAACATTTTCTTGTTTTAGACGCTTAACAGACAAGCAGGCGGACAGACAGATATCATCACAGACAACAACAAAATAAGAAGAGAAATAACATTTAAGCTTTATGAATATACCCCGCATACATGCATACTTATATAGATATATACATATATATATGTATATATATATACATACATATATACATACGTCCATACATAAGCATATATATATATACATTCATACAAAAAGACACACACACACACATATATATATATATATATATATATATATATAACTATATATGAGCAGGTATATGCATGAGTATATAGGTGTTTGTACACTTAAAGCAAACTCTTCGTCTTGGATTGACACATATATACGCACATATCATTATGTATGTGTGTAACACAAATTCACATGTATAGGTTTATGTATATATATATATACAAACACTTATATATATGCATTTTTTAGTGTGTTTGGGAGTTCAGAATTTATAATTGTGTAGGAGTTGTTAGCGTTGGTGTGGTTTGTTGTCTCTTAGTTGAACCGCTTGCTTTAATTTCACTTTTTGCAGTTTAGTTTTTGTCTGTCTGCTTATGCCATGATGCGTCCATGTGTTCGCTTACATACAAATATAAAGATGCTTTTAACCCGCTTAGCAATCTTAGAAATAAACCTTTAGTTAAAAACAGGATGTCCTTGAGCTTGACAAATAAAATAAGCTCTCTTTAATTCGCTCTTTATCTTTCCCTCCGTCTCTGTCTCTCTCTTTTTCTCTCACCCCCTTTTCGTAAAACCCTAACTGTGCTAGCTTCAATAATAATAATAATAATAATAAAAGGAACCAAATTGCAATTAAATTACATTTTAAGATTTGCATAAAACTAGAACTTTTGCTTGATAATTAAAAAAATTTGGTAAAAATTTAATTCCAGTTTTAAAGACGACTTTATGCAATATTTGTACAT